TGTCGACTGACTGCTGACAATGAGCTCTCAAGCTTTGTTACAAGCACTGATTTTTTTTACCGATAGAGTTTTGCAAGTCCAGGCAAAAGGTGTTGGTCTGAATCATTAGGGCCTTTCTGATAGCGTGGGAGGGGGTCTCCACATGAGCTGTAATTGTATCTTCCCTGGACAGCAGTGGCAGTAACCTCTCTCGGTCGGTCCCGGTTGGCCAGGGGCGCTCATTAACCATCTTCTTACTAACCGGCGTCCCGACCGAGGCTGCTACCAGTATTCTCCCTCTACAAGTCTTGTCTGAAAACCTTTTTCTCGAAAACCCCTGGGGAATTCACCCTTGTTTCCTACCCCTGCTTTGCTACAGGCCTTCAGCATGGTTCCGGAATGCCCACCTCTACAAACTCAAGGCAATTTGGTGCCGGGGAAGAGAGTACTATTCAGCTCATCTTGCTTACATGATCCCTTATTTGCTAAGTGATTCTAAAATCTGGCACAACCTAGTCTTGAAGGGTCCCATATGTCTGATTTCTACAACACAGCCTTCTTTGAGCCTCCTGATTCCAGTCCCAGAGGGATCTTCACTTATTTTTCTTTTGTAATGTCATGTCTGTATTTTTTTTTTTGCTAGGACTCTTAATAGCCTCTTGTATCGCAAGAAAGGATTTTGAAAATCTGAAGCAGTCTCACTACAAGCAGGGATAAACCACATAGGTCCTGTGTGTCTGTAGGTTTTCATCTCTTAGTCATTTGATAATATGGGCTATGAGAAATCAAGGTAAATCGGTAGATTAGTCAGGACTAGTGGTGCTGTTTTCAGCTACATTCACTGACTTTCTGATTTCCCTTCTGATGAAAATGTAGCCATGCTGTTTAAATCAGTGCTGATAGGTCTCTCCTTTTGCAGTACTGAAAGTGGCTTTTTATCTTTACAGTTGTGTAGAGAGAAACAAACAGTGTTAATGACGAGGAACACCTGACAAGGAGTCAGTAGATTTGATTGCAGAATGTGATGGATTACCTACAGTACAACACCTAATATAGGCTTGTCATGCAGTTTGCCTGGAACTGTTTATGAAGATTCTGATCAATGTCAATGAAAGATTTTAAAATGACAAGCTTGTCTTTCTCATAACCACGCTACAGCGTGTGAACAGCAGTCAATGTTGTAATAATAGAAAACACTAGTGAAGAATTTGAGGAAATGGTTGATATGTTCATTGTACACATCCTCAATAGTGCCAATGATTTCTAAGACTTGTACATAGCTGTGTTGGTTTGCATATATACTACACTTACAGTACTGTGCAATATACTGTAGTATATGATATATAATTACATATGATATACTGTATACAGTAGGTGAAAAACAACCTGAAAACATTGAACATTGTTTTATCCAATTACAGTTAGTTTCTCACTATTATTACTCTGTTCTCTTTTACGTGAATTGTTTTATGAGTTTTTAATCTTTTTTTCCCCCTATCTGACTGAAATGAAAATACTATACCTATACCTATACCTTAAATAAGTACCTTACCTGATTTGGGAAATGCAGGATAGATACAGTAGATACTTTCTTGATCCCATGAGGGAAATTGCAGTGCAATAGCAGCTTAGCACAGTGTAACGGAAAGATACAATAATACAACAGTATAATACAGTACATACAATACAGTACTGCATTGTATTGTTGTATTATTGTATCATTTTGTCTCACCGTGCTACAGTACGTCAACACAGTGACTTTGAATCCCACTGCAAAGCATGCTGGTTCTTATAGGGCAACTTTGTTGTCTCTTGATGAAGGACTTTGGTAGGTTAAAAACAGCTTGAACACCTACACTTTTCCATTGTAATTGGGAGCACTCTTTCTCCTTTATTGTGCTGTCATAGTAATGTTACATTAGTCACTGAATAAATAACTTGATCGATCACTAGCATTACGACATACTAGAGAAACAGAATGTTCTGAGGCCATTAGGGCAAGTTTCAAATATAGAACCATGGAGACAAATAATAATTAATTCAAGGAGATTTGCTATAACATTAGCGACACGAGTGAATTGTACTTAAAGCAGTGTCTCATCTTGCTAAGAAAGATGTGCCACAAGGAGTTAATAGCTCCTAGAGCAGAGCGATAAATCTTCTGACAGTCCAAACATCTGCTGGATTAAGCATCTAATGATATTTGCCGACAGAATGAAAAATATTGCAGAGTCAAACGATAATAAATGTAATTTCCTGTCTCCCTGCAGAGCATATATTAATTTGCTATTCTGTAGCTCCTTTGATTTAGGCAGGTCTCTGCGTGCATAATAATGAGGTCAGCTTTGGGATAGGTGGGGGGCATCACACTGAAATCGGGTGCTGTGCACTTGACTCCCTGCCTCCTCGCCGGGGATGCAGCAGCAGTGAAGAACACAACAAGAACAGGGTGACACGAACCTGTCTCCAGTAAAACTAAGGCTTCGCCTGTGACAGGCTGCACCCGAGTCAGCAGTTCATCGCCTGCCTCGACTATAGACCCCACGAGCTTATCTGGAGTGCTGCAACCTGAAAATAAATTAAAACGTGTCTCCCATTTCTTCTCAGGATAATCATTGGCTTTGAACACTTAATTTCCTCCGGAATTTATTTCACAAGAGTTACGGTATCTTTAAAAGCATGCTATTGCTATGAATTCTGAATATTAAATCCATCATGCCCTTTCACAATACAGTACATGCATATATTCTCCATTTGTGTATGTAGTGTGTGTCTGTAGGCGTGTACTGTATATAGATAAACAGTGTGCATGTATGCATGTGTCCATATGCATGCATATATGGTACATATCTGTATGGATAGTATGTGTGTATGTATGTATCCATATGCCACAATCCATCTTCAGGACAAGAAAGCTGAAATTAAGGGATTAACATCATACTGAGATGTAACACTCTGTGTGCAATCATCTGCTTGGTATGTTCCCAACGCATTATTTTCCTGGGTCATGTGCAATTATGTCCACCTCAGTTATTTCTACACTAAAGCATATAGGGTGGAATAAAATAAAAACCTTTAGAGCTGCAAAAATAACCCTCTCTCTACTAATGGAAAATGAAATTGCCTTTTTTTCCCCCAGTAATCAAAACCCATAGACATGTGGGATGCTGTCCATCTGAGTGTCTTGATCACCTACCGTGACCAATGGAATATAGTGTAGAATTCAATTCAACATAGACACTCTCTGTTGAGAGCTCTGGCAGTACTGTTGTGTGACTCTGGCAGGGATTGGTCTTTATTTAGGTGAAGGAAAAGTCTGACAACTGAAATTGTGTGATTTCTCCAATGGCCAAAGGTTTCCATTATGAATGTTTTTTTTCCTAGCAAAACATTTTTGGCAAACAGCATTTGCTGTGTGGAAGGGTACAGTAAATAAAGCATGTAGAAATGACCTGTGCTTAGATCTGATCTCTGAGAGAACAGTGGTGTCTCTTGGCTAAACTCTTCAAGTCTTTCAGAAATAAATGCGGCTCTAAACTACACTGATGTGCTCTGGGACTTCTTGCATTCCTAGTTTAAAAGTGGCTTATCCTTACTTTCTCCTTCAGAAATGTATCACTATTATATTCGTGCAAAAACCCCATGCTACACAATACCTGCTACATTGTTTTTGTCTTTATTCATATTGAGGCCAGAGTTTGAGCCATAAAGGGACATACAGTAATATTAAAAATCTTCAGGAAATCGGTAAATAACAAGTGAAAATTAATGGCTGCAGTAAAAGCCATCAGTGGAAAATGCTGAGTCTCTGAAATGATGGGTGAAGTGTTTACCCAAGGAAACTGCAACTAAGAACAATGCAATGAATAATGTAATTAAGAAAGTAACAGTGCTTCCTACAAAATTACTGTTCATTAGATTATTCTCTGAATCATGAAGACAGCAGATTTGAAAAGGCACTTAGCATACAGCCGAGTGCACTGAATATGTGCATGTATACGTGTTAGCAAACAGTATGTGTTATTATTATTGCCTTTTAAATGGTTTATTTAAAACATGCTGAACCTAGACTCTATCCAGGACTTTTTAAGGTGTTTTCTTCAAAGATGAGACAAAGAGTCTTCTAAGCACATACAGTACCATCCCTTCCAGCTTCTTAATTCATAAGAAATCTAATAAGGACTGTATCAGTTTTTATATACAGTATATTTTATTTTCTGCTGAACACCAACAATAAAAGCAGGTTCATACTGTATAACCATTGTGTCTATAATTTGAAAAAGGAACATTTCGCCAAAAAACTTTTTTACGATAATAAATCATGCCGAAGCACTTGTACACTTTTTTTTTACAAAGAATCAAAGGTTTGCCTTTAGAAATGAATAATGGTTACAGGCAAGAGGAAACATTTTGACCTGTTTAGTGCCTTTTGTTCCTCAGAAACGAATGTAATTAATCCAAGGATCTCATTCAGGCATTTCTGGAATTGAACCAGATAAGCTTCAGCTTGTTCCACACTCCCACAAGCCTTTCGGTAAATAAGTGCCTCCTGTTCTTGGTTTTAAATACTTTGGTATTTCCCACTTGTGCCCTTGGGTTTGTGATTCAGTGTTGATTCTGAAAATGTCCACTGTGTTGACTTTGTCAGTGCCTTTGAGGATTTTGAATATTTGAATCGGTGTCCTTTGTAGTCTTCTCTGTTCACGACTTCAAAGGTTTGGTTCTTTTAACCTGTCACTGTAGAACATTCCTTTGAGTCTGGGAATGTATCGGGTCACTCTTCTCTGGGCTGATTCCAGAGTAACTAACTTCTTATATCATTTTTATACGCTGCTTAACAAGTGCATTGATCAATGGTAATAAAATATCCCTTGATTTAAATTCTACATTTATATTATTTTGGTCTTGTATACATTGAATCCTAACATTCTCTTTGTCTTTTTATTGCTTTAACATTTGTATATACTATATATAATATCGGTGCAGTATCAATTGATTAATGTCCTATTCATTATTCACAGGATATTCCTAAGATTTTGAGGATTGTCACAACAAATACAGGATCTTCAAAAAACGAGACCATGAAGAGAGGGGACACAGGGCTCACAACCTGCCAAACACAAGAGGTATGATTCTGACAGTACTTAACACAAGACATGGTCATCAATTACCATCCTTGGCAAATACTGGGTTTATTTGACCTGATGCACTAATCCAAAGCCAGTTTACATTTGTACTCATTTATTCAGCAGAGTATTTTACTGGCGCAATCAAAATGAAGCACCTTTCTCTAGGGGACAACAGCAGTGCTTCACATAAGATTCGAACCCACAGCCATACAGTTACGAATCCAGAACCCTCACATCTACTGTGTGCTGCTGCTGAATGGTTCAGAAGGTCTTCTAGGTATATATTTATCTTGGCAATAGTTCTGTGTAAATCTATGACAAAGCTGAATTCAGTTATTAATTGCCAAACTAGCTAGCTTGTAGACGAGAATCTCTTTTACAAAAACCATGTTTGACATGGAACAGTACCTTCAAAAAGTGAAGCGATAACTGTCGCAGAAATATTGTCTAGTCCTATTTTCTCACTACCTCATGCAGGGGTCTCCAACCCTGGTCCTAGAGAGCCCCTAGTCCAGGTCATGTCATACAATAGGTTGCCCTAAATCACCTGTTATTTAAACATTAGTAGTACATGTTAAAGTAAGGTCACAATAAAGGGAACACTGATCCTTGAAGGCTAATGGATATTCTGATTTCTGTTCTAATTGATCTCTAAATTGCCGAATTGAATGTGCCTCCTGTTAAATTGATCATAGGTAAATTGGTCCATGCCTAAATGCCTACTGTATGTAACCTGCTGGACTGAGACTCCCCAGGACTAGGAATCAAGACCTGTGACATAATGAATAACACATCTTGGTTCAGTGTTTATGAAGGGTAGGAATTAAGAGTCCCTGATGAAAGAGTCAATCACAAACATATTGAACAGTGAAGCATGCTACTGTATATGCATCACTTCACTGAGTGTACTAGCTGTTGGACAATCTGATACTACTTCACGGAAAAAACTGAAATAACTTCATATTTCAATATGAAAGAAAAAATACAGATAATATCTGGTGCTGCTGTTATTTAAAACCTTTCCTCTGAAGTGATTTTTCCAGCTTAGTTTCCTGAGTCACCCACTCCTCCACACAATTTTCATTCAGTTTCCTTTCACCTAAAAGAAAATCCACAGATTAGAAGTCTGGTTTGACATTCTGGGACTGGGGGTGACAAAGATTGATCCAGCCCTTTTGAGTGCTTACTGAATACACAGAGAGAAAGACTTTACAATCCAAATGGCTCTCGAGATCTTTTTATACCACAGAAATTTCAATTCCTCCGACCTCTGTTAATGACCAATTCTATCAGACGACAAGTAATTGAGGAAAATATTCCATTATGTTTTCAGCGCTCTGTTGCAAAGCGGTCAGATTTCTACAAGGGCGGAAAAAAAGAGCAAATCTCACGCAATGCTGGGCTCCTTGCAAAGGGCTGGTGAGGCATTATTCTTAACGAAATGTCTTCTTCAAAAGTTGACATTTTTCACATAAATGAGAGAGATGGGAGATAAAAACATCCCCCTGGAGCAAAAAAAAAAACAGGTTTGTTTGTCTGATAATTAAACTCGCGGCTCATTTTGACACCGATTTAACCCTGGAAAATGTTCTCATCAAACACTCCTGCGGAGTCGATTAGAAAAAATGTGTTCCATTTTGTTTTGTATGTACAGTATTTCCTGCCCTTGGTAATGGGGAGGAGACTGGTGGACAGGGAGATGAAGTCAAGGAAACAGGAAGATCATGTAAAGCTACAGTAAATGACTTCCAAACTCATGGTGAAGGTGCTCCCATTCCTTGATCTCCTGCTAGGCTAACTGGTATTTAAGCCATCCCTTGACTCCGGTGCAACTTAAACTCCTTAGCAGTTTGCTGAAAACGATGCTTTATTTTTCTGTGGCGGTATATACTGTATTTTTATGTTGTTTCAATTTGCGTGCCGCACATTAACCAATTGAATGAAACAACGGATCAGTGCTAAGTGAGACTCAGAACGTGTCCGAACATGAGTTGGAGTCACATTTTTTATACAGGATTGCAACTCTGAGCTGGGCTCCAGGTGACTCGTGCTGAAGGTTAGTATGAAGTGTGCCGGTCACAATGTGCTATATTGTACTTTTTATTGTAGTATCTTTTAGATCCATGAGAATGAAAACATGCCATCTGAAAAAAAAAAAACGTGAAACTGCCAAACTATTGAATGTTTATTGATTAAGCAATTAACGATTGGCAAGTCAACTCTTTTGGTCAGGAAGGTGTAGACTCCAATGTTTATGCATACCGTGTTTTCGGATTCACGTGTTTAACACGGGCGCTGCTCTGCTGATTTAGTTTTAGACAGGGAGAACTAAAAAGAGCACTTTGCTTCAAGGGCACCTGCTCCTATCTCGTCCCTAAGGGGACTCGTGTTTAGGAGTGTTCTCAATCGCTGAGATTAAAGATCATCAATCATGCAGGAGCTGGAGTGATCCTGAGAGCCCAGGGTTCCCATACTTGCCAGCTGTGAATTATTGAAGAATTCTTTCTTGTTAAGGCCAGCGACTCCTCCTCCTCCTCCTTGTTCCTCTCCATGTTATCTGCATGTACTCATTGCTGCCTTTGTTACAGCAGAGCCAAGCACGCTGGGAGATGCACGTGAACTCAAGTTTTTCAAGTCCTGCCCGAATACCCGAATAGTAATGTGCATAATGTACTATCGTGCCGAGGTAGTGTAACAAGGCTCATTGAACTGAGCGAATGACAGAAGTGATGACACCTCTTGAAACCCAGGTGGTGTTTGACTCCACTTCAGCTGCAGACCTGCTTTTTCCATTATGTGCCCCGTAGGGACGGGCACTGCGTGTCCTCGGAGTCCACAAGCTCCAACATGCTTGGAAACCCTTCAGGTTCAAACCCTCTCAGGTTCAACCCCCCAGACCAGCCTGGATCCTCTATGTCTGTGTCTAAAGATGGTTCAAGTTTGAAGTGAATCAGCGCCGCTTCTGACTCCTGGCAGAGCTGCAGATAGCCTGGGTGTCTCCAAACAGAGAGATGAATGATGCAGAGGGAGGCCAAACACATCCCATTCTTAGCTGGAACTGGAACGGTTTCTTTAAACGCATTAGATGCAATCTCACACCAGCGATTGCGATCACACTAAAATAAGCACAGAGGGCACAGACTGCCACAAGGTTTTAATTAAGTGTCAAAGCTGAGGGGTCCTTAGGGAAGGGACGAGAGTGAAGGATTTTAATGGAAGGTGTTCCTTGACATGAGGTTATTAATAATATTAATAATAATGCAGGAAGGGAACCTGGGCAAGATGGAGATGCTTGCTGTCTCTAAGGAAGGGCATTTAGACTTCCAGTCATCCTCTAATGAAAATGTGTCAGAAGTACTTTCTTGTTCTTTTTTTTTTTCTCATTTCCTCTACGGGAGTTCCCACTGCTGGAAAAAAATAGCAATTCATTATTTTCCTCACCTAAATGGGACTTATGAGTTCAAATTGAATTAGGCTCGCTCCACCCTGGTGTCTGTTCTATTCATGAATAGGCTGCAGTTAGATTTAACTCTCTTCTTGCAACACATCTAACTGTGACATTTTACCAGGTGAAAATCCATAGTTGGGAGTGAAGTTTCCTGTTGCTGCACTCAGTGTCAAAGTACGGTATTACAGCACAATATACGTGAAATAGTCCTTTCATAAGAAATTATATAAAGTTCATAATTTAAACTCTGGAATTGCTGCTGAGGATTGTTGAATGTGCAGAATGACATTACACTGATATTCATAAGGATACAGCCCTGTAAACCACAGCTATCCCACATTGCACATTTTGCATGTAAACGGGGAATGTATGGTTAAGCATTGAAAGTGATCCTTCCTTTTAAAAAGCACGTTAAATGCACAGTCAGACCATCATAAAAATGATATTGACTGAAAACGGCCGCGCTGATTTGCCATTAAACCTTCTTGTACTGGCTTCAGGGAGAGCTCTCAGTCCTGGTATTGCTCCTTCTCCCTCGTTGCTGCATTAGCAATATTCTGTACTTTGCAGACTGAAGCACGAACGAGCTCATCAGCATTTTGTTGTAAGGCAGTGAACTCAAGACGGAAATCGCTAGAAATCATTTTAATCACCCCCCCCACCCCCACCCTCCATGCTATCTGAAGCCTCACTTTGTTCACTCTGTATAAATTCCCTTCTGTCCAGAAATCAAATATGTTTCTTGTGCAAATCCCTCGGTCCAATTTAAGTGGGTTGGACCCAAGCTTCTCAAGTATGTGCACAAATTCCTTTGCTCACAACTTTTTCCCTGCCATACTTTGGAGCGGTTCATATCTGCACTAAGCCCGAAAACTTAAAAGACAGAATTAAGATGAAGCTGCTTGAAAGCAGAGATCTGTCTTTTTATTTTGGAGATGAAGAGACTAGACAAGGTGAGTCATATGCAACTTCAGTATCAATCTGCAGCAGCACATTTGAACTCTACTGAGGGGAAATGATGGCTGATTATTTGATTCAAGGAGGAATGACAAAACATCAAAAGAAAACTCCTGTAATGCTCTAGTGATTATTGGAATATATTAATAAGATAAGAAACATTTCTTTTTTGATTGAAGTTGGACTTCAATTTCAGGCTGCACAGTCAAATCTGTTTAAAATAAATATACCAGCAAAGACTATGTATCTTTATGAGAGATTTATTTTATTAGAGTAAACTAAAACTTTTATATTTTTTCCCCAAACTTACCTAATGCATATTAGAAGACATACTGTACAGAGAAGTGGATATTCATACAAGTCTGGAATGTATATTCTGAATAATATTGCCTTGACGAGAACGTGCAGAAAACTTGAACTTCTGAACCTACCGTACTAAATTGATTCACAGGCTCTACCACAGAAAGAGAGAGTTCTCTCAAGAATGATGTCTTTCAAATACCTTTAAGTGTAAACTAGCTTCGATGCAAAAAGACATAGAAAATGTCTATGTCTCCAAGCTAAATTATTATTGTGCCTCCCTGTAGTCAGCAAATGCTCTGTGAGCATTTAGTAATTTTCTAGTATTATGTAAAACTCAATAGCTACTCATTACCAATTACCATTCACCACTGCTGTTTGGAGAAATAGATCCCAGAGGAGTAGCAATGAATGAAGAGCTCTCTGAGAGAAGTCATAATCAACTAGCAGGCCTTACATTTCATTTTAAGCTGCCACACTCGCCTGTGCTCTCTTGCAGTGCTCTGATCCTGCCCACATACTGTATTTCTGCATAAAAATACGGTCGTGGATTACAGCTGTAGCTGTAGTGACAAGCACTCTCGGAACACCGGGATGCGGAAATTGGCAGCTTTATACCTCCAAAAATTTCCCTCCGCAAACCGTCCCCAAACCTGAAGGGTTTCCAAGCACGTTGGAGCTTGTGGACTCCGAGGACACGCAGTGCCCGTCCCTACGGAGCACATAACCGAAAAAGCAGGTCCGCAGCTGAAGTGGAGTTCAACACCACTTGGGTTTCAAGAGGTGTCATCACTTCTGTCATTCGCTCAGTGCAATGAGCCTTGTTACACTACCTCAGCACCATAGTACATTATGCACATTACTTGTTTTTCACTCAATTTCTGCTAAACTTCCACTTTCCTATGGTAGATAAGGGCACACATCTGACAGTGTTTCAGCGTCTCTGACCTCGGTTCGCTGGCTGAATGTTTGACACCCAGGATGGTTTGCTTCTTTGAGCTGTCTGGTCACATCATGCCTCCTCTGGCAAGTCTTCAGTTTTTTACCACGCAGTCTCATTTAAGCTTCTGACTCACAGTGACCTCACGGCGCTTCTCAGCCCCAGCCCCAGACAACCCTTCTGTCTTCTGATTTTTTCTTCCAACCAAGCTCGTAATTGCTGAGACTTGTAATTGAATGTCTTGCTTGAATAGAATTTGATTAGAGCTTTTTAACCTGTTTCGGCACTCAGCCGTTGGTTACACAGCTACTTTGCTGCAGAGCTGGTGTTGGGGGGGAAGAGCAAGGGGAACTCTTATCGTGTCTGTTTTTCCTCAACCTGTTTATTTAGGTGTCTGCTTCTTTATTTCTAACTAAACTGCTCTTGATAGGTGACCTTTTAGTCAGACAAAGGTGTAATGATACTGTATCAACACTTCCATCTAAAAAAAAGCAGCAAAGTTGTGCAGAGGCCCAAATACCTGAAAAAGGGGGAGGTTGTGAAAATATCTTTCAGGAATTTCAGGGTTGATCATAAATACTTAAAGGGGAACTGCAGCCCCAGTCTCTCAGACTGGTTATTAAATGTTGTTAACAAAATAAATTCTTTGACTTTATAGAGAAATTGTATAAATTTTGAATTAAGCACAAAATCATAGATAGATACTTTATTGATCCCGTGAGGGAAATTGCAGTGCAACAGCAGCTTTACACAGACAACACAGCCACAGTGTAACGAATGATATAATAATAATAATAATAGTACAATACATACAATACAATACAATACAAGAGTTACAATACAATACAATACAGACTAGAACAGAACAGTACACAGAACAGTACACAGAACAATCGTATCACACATATGAATATAAATATAGATGTAAATATAGATATAGATATAAATATAGATATAAATGTATTGCACAGGTCCCTGGCATATATTGCACAAAAAACGGTTGTAAACGGGAAAAAGAAAAAGAAAAAGAAAGAGAACCGATGTAGCAGTAGATGTGTAGATGCGTTCAGTCCAGAAACAGGTCAATGTCAAAGTTGCCCCTGCCCAGACACACAGCGGATGAGTTGTACAGTCTGATGTCAGAAGGCAAGAATGACCTCCTGTAGCGCTCCCTGTCGCACCGCGGGTGGATCAGTCTATTGCTGATTCTATTCAGCTCATGATCATGAACTTTGTGATAGTACTGTAGTAGTACTGTACGTCGCCCTGTTGTCGCAAACTCACTTTTCAGTTCCCACGAATGGTGACGTGATGTGGCCCTTCCCGCTCACTAGTCACTGTGATGACTGTAATGAATAAGTACAGGTTGCACACCAGACATTTCACCGCAGAAATGTTCCAACATGTTCTCCATGCAGCGTTTACAAATAAGTTCCATTTATCAGCAAAACCACCTCAAAGTCAAGAGCAATATTTCTACTGGGTTAAAATCGTGTCAAAGCGTACAATGCAATAGGGGTGTAACACGTCACCAGAAGTTTTGTTACCTCCTGCTGAGTCACAGAACATGGCTCCACACATACCTGGAACTTGTATATATTTTGTGATGTAAATTGAAGGTTTTACAAGTGACTGTGTACATTTGACTTTTATTGTGTTTTGAAAATGCACTCATCAATGCTAATTCCTTCTAACCCCTAAATTCAAAAATAGCTTAGCAGTTCCACTTTAAGTCTCACCAATTTCTTAAGAGTTGAAAGGACAATCAGGTGGCATTATATTGGCTGAATGGATTAAAAGCTCAGATGGAACACAAACTAGAAGACACTGGAGTCCTCTGGGACTGGTGTTGAGAACCACTGGATTCCTTTCAGGTTTCCCATCCAAGAGCTGCTGTGCAGTATGTTTTCTAGATCTCTCTAATAATCCAGCTTCTAAAGAACAAAGAGGGCTTCAAATTGTCCTAGAAAGAAAACAATGAGTTCAATTAGGCAATTAAGAGTTCAGGTGAATGGAAAAGCAGAAGGGTACTCCAGGACTGAAATTGTGATCCTCCGAACTATTGACATTTCTTGTCTATGAGAGTGTCAGTACTGTGACTGAAGACAGGCAACACCACAGACAAGTCAGAAGGCAGGCAGTTGTGAGAACTGCTGAATTGTGTATGGCTAACCTGTAGCTACTGTGAAGTACCGAGATAAATGTGAGAGAATTTTCTCAGCTTAATCTGAAAGTGGTTTAGAGGCATTTTTGTTTAACATTTACTCTATTTTCAATTACCTCTTCAGACAATAAATTTCACTCTAAATGTCATGCATTTATTAGTTTAAAGTTAGCGACCTACTTAGGCACGTACTGCATTATGTAATGGTGGGTTTTTCAGTGAAATAAGGAAACTGTTGTGTGTTTAAGCGCAAATGCTCTGTGTGTTCTAAAAATCGAATACACACATCTTGCGCCCACAGCATGCATTAATGAAGAAGGCGGTTCATTTCACCGTTTGCTTTTCAATGTTTCTATTATATTTCTCCTGAATTCAGCTTTTTCCTTCCTTAAACAACATTTAGAAAATGGAATATGACCAATCTGAACGTCTATGTTGAAATTTAGGAACTAAAAATTGAGAAAATATTTTGGGATGCCAAACGCTTATACTATACTTCTATATGACTGCATTTCATGACTGTATTGGAATTATCTCCTGCTTAAATGTTGCCAAGCGGCATTTTTTCCAAAAATGTTCAGATTATGACAGGAGAAATAATGCAATAATCCATCCATTTTCCTACCACTTCTTGCAATTCAGTATCACAGAGCCATAGCCTGTTCTAGCAAACTACAAGGGCCAGGGTGAGGTAAACCTTGCTCATATTTGCCAGTTTCCAGTATAACACAAAAACAGTGTTACTCCGAAATAAAGAAACAGGGTGGACAGACACACAGGCTCATACCGGAGCTAATTTCATAGGAGAAGCCAATTAGCCTACCAGTATGTTTTTGGATTGTGGAATTACAGCAGAGGAAACCCATGCAAACAAAAGGGAGAACATACACACAGATAGTACCCTGGTCCAAAATTAAACCAAGGGCCCTAATGCTCTGAGGCAACAATACTGACCACGTCTCTACCATGTTGCTCAATATCAATAATAATAGTTATCATTATCCATTCATCCATCCATTTTGTACCTGGTCTATCCAATTCAGGATCAGAAGAGAACCAGAGCCTGTCCCGGCAAGCAGCAGGCACAAGGAAAGATACACCCTGGATGGGATGCCAGTCCATCACAGAGCACGCACACTCACGCTAGTGCCCATTTTCCCAGAATCCAATTAACCTTCCAGCATGGCTTTGGATGATTGGAGGAAACCAGAGCACCCAGAGGAAACCCACGATGGGGATAATATACAGACTCCTCGCAGAGAGGACCCATTATTATTATCAACAGTCATGTCATGTCATTTACCAAACCTCTTTATACCCTACGGTGTCGGGGGAAGCCGGAGCCTACCCGGCAAGCAACGAGCGCAAGGCAGGGTACACCCTGGACAGGACGCCAGTCCATCGCAGGGCCAGTGCAAGCCAATCACACATGGGGACAGTTTGGAGGCCGTGGTAAAGGCTGAGGGGGAGAATTTGGCCTGGACACCGGGATAACTCCCTACTCTTCTCGAGAAATGCCCGGGGATCTTTAATGACCACAGAGAGTCAGGATCTTGGTTTTACGTCTCATCCGAAGGATGGTGCCTTTATATAGTATAGTGTCCCCATCACTATACTGGGACATTAGATCCCACACAGACTCCAGGGTGAGTGCCCCCTACTGGCCCCACTAACACCTCTTCCAGCAGCACCCTCAGTTTTTCCCAGGAGGTCTCCCATCCAGGTACTGACCAGGCTCACACCTGCTGAGCTTCAGTGAGTAACCAGTTGCAAGTTGCAGGGTGACATGGCTGCTGGCTTATTATCAATAGTAGTGAATGATTTATTTCTAATATTGTTTTTGTCTACAGGTTGGCACGACCTGCTTCAAAAACCAAACTGAAAATTTGTCATTGGAGAAAAAAACAGTTGACCCGAATTCCTATAATCAGGTAATTTTTTTTATTTTATCTGAAACACCAACAGCTCAGCCTCCTGGGGCTGTGGAGAGGCATGCGAACTTGTAGTGCTGTTGTTAAGAATCTGTGACTCGCAGGGTGAAAAGCACAAGGCTCTCACATTGTCTGATGCAGAAGAGCTCATACAGCCCCATTATTGACATTAGGATTGCTGTAGACACCTCATATCCAACAATTCCAACCAGGAGCAACCCCGCAAGGGGAATCGTTGCCAATTCCCAGTATGGCACAGAAAAATGAAATGTTGCTCCAAGATAAGGAAAAGTCAAGGAAATACCAGCTTCTGTTGTCAGCTCTCCTACTGTAGAGATACAGCAAATAGGTTCCAGCCTTAGTTATTGTCATGCAAAAGTGTACAAGTTACAAGAGTGTAGCCCACGATCTAGCAATTACTGTGCTTCCTGGCTCTAGGGGGTGTGCCAAAGGGAGAAAGAGACTGTTCGTTTTGTGTTTCATCAAATACCTCACTCCTTAATTAGCAAGCTGCAACAAGGTTCCCTACTGTCAGAAGAACACCTCTAGTAAAAGATAACAGGGATAGCTAGACACAACTGTCAGTTGTTTATGGGTCTTGATAATGAAAAAGAAAGTTAGCATTTAATTTTTAATCACTTCTGGATTTCGGATCTCAGGTATTTTATTTTCAGACTGGAAGAGTAAAAAAATGCGTTCAGCTTGCCGGGTGAATGAGTAATACTGTATGTAGTTTAATTCCTTACATGACACTGCAGTGGCATAAGCTAATGGTAATTTATTCGCCTTCGGTAACGGGGAAGCAAATTTACTCCAAGCAGCTATGGTTAAGAGTAAGGCCAAAAATAGTCTGTTTGCAGAGAAAAAGAAGTGACTGCATGTTTGTATTGTGTTATTGTAAAATTATTTGGATTCCTAATGGCTATGAAATTCGCTGCTTGTCCAACACTCTCATTCATAGGCCTTTTCTTCCATCTATTGAAGAAATATTTTCCCAGGCTCTTCACTGGAGCAGGCCTCGCTAGGTTTTGCTTTCAGCAGCCAGCTGGGCTCTTAAAAATGATGTGTACAGTCTCTGCTTGACATTGGAGCTCATTGCTGTGCTTAATCTATCTGTTTGAGCCATTGAGCTGCGCGTGTCTTTGAGTTACAATGCTGTATTTCCACTAAGCTACCTTTTGAAAAAGGAGAAGCCTGCATGTCTCTTTTAATTGTGGTCAAGGCAGATAACTAAGACTAATCCTTAGAAAGCAGCAGTTCCCGGAGTATCACAGTTTCTTCAACTCTTGACTCTTGTAAAAAAATGTGTCAACATTTTTCAATTGAACCACGCACTAACTGAACGTGGGAATCGGAAATTAAACCGTTCCGTAACACAAGTTGTTCATTTTAATAAGACAAGGCTTTCACTCTGAAAGATCGCAAGTCTACTGCACACGCAGAAGAATGTATTCGCTGACAACTAAACCAGAGTGGAAACATAATTAAAACTGTAGCACCGTAGTGAAAGATGTTCATCTGAGCATATTCTTTTCTGTGGAGTACAGAATTAATTTAAAACAAAAACACAAGATTTGTTTCACAATATACTTCAGGCGGATGTTATTTGTGTTGTTTGAATTGCAGCAATTTACCTAAATCCTTATTCACACAAAGTGCTCTGACACTGACTGCTACAGCAAGTCAATTTGCACTGACGTTAAAGTCAGTCATATACAGTACAATAGATATGTTAAGAACCTGAAAATGATCTGCAAGACAATTATATTCCCAAATATGTGATACATCATTTTGGAAATACTTTATTTGAAGGAATTATGACCCCAATAACATTTCTTAAATACTTTCTTTTTGATCCGCTTCATCTTTAAGCTGTTCTACCAATGTACAGGAGAATTACAGTCACAGTTAGTGTCATTATTAAATTTATTGATGTCGTTGATTCATGGCAACTTACCGCAAACCAAACTCATTCATGCTCATCCCTGTGCTGTTGAATATCATCAGGTGACGTTTCACTCTGATCCTGATGTCTGCAGTGTCACTGTATTCTACATGGTAACGTACTGAAGCTGATTTCAGTATTTTGGGGTTTAATATCCATCTCCCGAAAATAGTAAGATCTCAAACGATCATCAAAAGCAAATAAAAAACAATTCATTAAAAAACTCTAACACTGGGCGTTATACATGTTAAAACATGTGATTTACCTGTCTTCGTTTCCCAATCTCTTTTCCCTGTACTGACATTTAATAACAATTTAGAAACACATACTAGCTATTGTGGGGGACACAGGAGAAACTGAGCAGTGTGCCCTGTGGACTCCAGATTCAAAACACTTTGAGAAGATGCAGACAAACCCCACACATGTGATTGTGAGAGTGAGAACTTTTATTCTCTTTTTTTATTCTGGACTTGAGCCTCTTGACTGCCAAGTCAGGACTCCCTCACGAAATGCATTGCAGGTGGTGGACCAGTGACATTGTATTGGGGTTTAGGGGTCTAGAATCCTGTTGTAATGTCCAATGGTGTTAATTCCACCTGAAGCAGGGGCTGTGGGATGTACTGTAAGATGACCCTTACATACACTGGTCAAGGCAGCTCAGCTGGTAGCACACAGACAGGGAAGCAGAGCAGGCAGTATAGTTACAGAGAAGATGTACAGTAAGCAGCATTCTGGGCCGAGCTGTGCTGAGCACGCAGGGAGATGTGGTGCTGTAGCAGGTTAGAGAATCGGGAAGTTAGCACAGTCAGAAACAAAGCTGAGTTTGTAAGTGTGTAGACAGTACAAGCACAGAGAACACTCCAAGAGGCATGGTCAGAGAGAAACAAGGGTGAGGTCCAGGTAGCAAAGCATAAGGGAGAATCTGATGGTGTTGTTATAGTAAACAAGACAGGGTCAAAGAAGAGTAGCACCGAAAAGTAACAAGCCAAGAGCTGGTCGGGGAACAAAGTTGTAAAGACAAGCTGAGGCCAGGATTCCAAACAAAGCATAGCTAGGGAACAAAGCTAGAGAAACACAGGACGCTCAGAGATGAAACTCTATAACAGAGCCCTGCACAGTGTCAGAGCAGCCCTTAAATATCCTGAACCACCTGAAGTGGGCGAGATCATAAATTGCCAGGTGGTCTATGTCTCCTGTCATATAGGTATCTATGGCAACCAGCGCTGAGTGACATTTAGGTGCAGCAATCAATGCTAGCTCATCCTGTAGTGCACCAGTGGGAACAAGCTGGACACCTCTATCAATGTTTTAGAGAGCAGTGACTGTTTGTCTTTCTTTTCTAAACTGTTATTATAAACTCCAATAAGCATTTAAATACACAGAGGGAGCACTTTAATGTTTTGAATATAAATTATATATATATATTGGTGAGTTATTTTCAAGAAAGGTAAAGAAATAAATGATTCCTTTCTCTTACTTTTTCTCTTAAATTTGCAACAGAAACCCCATGACGTCACCCAGGACAAGAATGAGGTCTTAAAGTCAACGGAAGACGACAAGAGAAAGCTGGACAACAGTGACGTCATAAAGTCAGAGGACGGCATATGACTGAAAGGACAAAAAGTAACAATTCACGTGTAAATATTCCGAGGACTTGCGTTTGAGCTTTCTGTATGCTATAATGTCATTTTTGTTCTGATAAGTATCAAGGCATGCCCCCACCCTACTGCACACTTCTACAGGGACACACAATCACTTCTCCAAACAGGAGCCCCCTTGTGAATTGAAATATATTGTAGAGGCATGCATTAGATCTCTATTTTTGATTCTGTTGACATCTTTCCATAAACAGCTAAATACGTCAGAGTCAAACTATTTTTTTTTTCCTTCAGTGCCAGAATATAACTTCATAATTGGATGCCAAATGTTTGAAACTGATTTGACCTGTGACGCCCAATGATTTGCATTGATTTTCCTCTGCTGGTAGGCCCTTTACATGACAAAATCCAAAACAAAAAGAATATCGAAAATGAATATTTCATGTCACGTATGCAGTGTGGCATTGTGCTGCACTTCTCTCTAATTAGATCCCACTGGGAAAGCTAGAAAATTCTGCAGTAGGAGAAGAACATATAAAAAAGGTGAATACTGAGGCCTTTAATTCTTGCCTCTATGTACTGTAGAGTCTTAGTTTTTAATTGAACAATTACATGAATTACACATACAGGCAAACATTACTGTGGGAACATTTCCTTTATTCAACTATACTACAATATACCATAGTAAAAACAAAAAAACACTAATTAAAAAACAGGGAAATCAGGAAAAAAAGCATTCTACAGCTCTGAGAGCTGACCTAGTGCATGCTATAAACTAGAGGTCTCCAATCCTGGCCCACTCCAGCAAGTATTATAGGTCACGATTAAATCAGCATTATTCTAAATATTGGGACAATATTGTGAGCAACTCAACAGGTGATTTAACTAAGCAATATACAGATCATGTAGGACCCAGATCAAGCCTACTGTACATTCAGTATGCAAGAGTCTATTTATTGGTCAGATTACTTGCTTAATTGATCAATAACCTCCAGGTGTTCCCAATCTTCAGACATGTGACCTGTTAGCTAGATTGGGGCTCTCCAAGACCAGGGCTGGAGACTCCTGAACTGAGCAGACTGGGGCTGTACAGGACCAGGGCTGGAGACTCCTGAACTGAGCAGACTGGGCCTGTACAGGACCAGGGCTGGAGACTCCTGAACTGAGCAGACTGGGGCTGTCCAAGACCAGGCTGGAGACTCCTGAACTGAGCAGACTGGGGCTGT